GAAGGGGAGCAGGAGAGGAAAGAAGACCCCTGGGACAGTCCTGATGTCCTTATTATTGAACCCGGAGAGAGACTGCATATGTGTCTCTAGCTCCAAAACCAGACACAAAGGATGACTAGAAATGTTCAAATCCAGTGTGACGCTTTCGTAATCTTTTCTTCCCCCATTATGTTAATGTTTGCTTTCACATAACAAGTCTGTTTATGTCTGCAAATGATTAGCTGAAGACCCTGCTTCTGGAGCAAAGCTTAAACAAGGATCTACTAAAACTTCAAAAAAGGATTAACTCCTAGAGGCCAGGTAAGGGAACAACAGTTACAACATAGCTAGGCCTGGATAATCCACCAAGGTGCGGAGCTGCCTAGTGAAGTTCTGGCTGGGTGAACTCAAGCAGGAAAGCAGAGAGGCGTGGGGGTGGGGTTGTGGGTGCAACCCTGGGTTGGGGAAATGAAACGCCTGCTCTGGTAGTTTGATTTTAGGCTGAACATGTAGTTTGCAAGTGACATCAGTTTCTGATCTGTAGCTTTACCGGGAACAGAGCAATCTGTTCTTATTTGATCTATTTCTTTTCTCAAATATGTTGTACCAAAGAAGATCAGTTTCTCGAGATTGGAGTTGAATTGGATTGCTGTGATGTTAGAGGCTTTTTGATTCACAATGCTTTGTTAAAAACAATTTAAAATGAAACAGGCACTGGTGGAGGGATGGGTAAACTTGAACATTGTATGACTTGAAACATAATCACAGAAGTTTGTAAGTCTGTAACGGTATCTCACGGTGATGCATTAAAATGCAATTTTTAGAATTTTTTTAAATGAATCAATTAATCAATCAATCCTTTGTAGAGGGGACTGGTGTCTAAAACTAACAGGTTCTGGGTCCCTCCCGTAAGTTCTCAGTCAACGAGTCTGGAGGTTCAATATGAGAATCTGGGACCCTATGGTGCTGCCTACTTCCTGCAGTGTGCAGGGGCCTTTACGGCTGCACCCAGGGATACTCAGGGTTCGTGTAGGGCTAGGAATTGACTCAGGGTCAGCCACGTTCAAGTCACAAGTCTTAAACCCTGTATTATGTCTCTAGCCCACAATTTCAAATCTGAAGAGGACTATGTTATTTAATGCTCTCGCTATAGAAACAACAGTGCTCTAAAATAAATATCTCTTACTTCTACTTTCAGACTGGCTCCCTGAAATTTATCAACCTGGATGGCTGTATACCAGAAATACCATCTAAGAAGAAATGCTAGATTCTGCTTACAATTCTATAGTCCCACTCATCATGACATCATGTACCTTCAAATTTTATTTACCCTCTTCAGAATTCCCCAAAGAAAATCAGTAAAGAACAACTCAACCTATATGACTGTAGCACTGTAGTACTGTCCTTCCATTGTTCGTCGATTTGCTCTAGCAGGCCCAGTGAGACTTGTTGTTACTGTGTTTGGCATATCGAATATGTCATGGGTAGCTTGCCAGGCTTTGCCGTGTGGGTGAGATAATCTTGGTAGCTTGCTGGGCTCTCCGAGAGGGATGGAGGAATCGAACCCGGGTCGGCCAGTCCGGCCGCGTGCAAGGCAAACACCTTACCACTGTGCTATCGCTCCCCATTTCTTTTACCAGTTGGACATTTATTCGATTTTTAAAGAAAATGTCACTTTGATAGTAAACATTTTGAGTGAAAAATCTTTGAAGCATTATTTACTTACTAGGAGCACTCATTTTTTTGAAAATTAGGTTCATTCTACATAAGTTGTGAAATCTCAATTTTTATATCTGTGTCTAATAAATATTAAACTGTAATTAGTAACTACTATTATTTTTAAGTAGGGTAACATTGGTTTCCCACTGTGCAAATGTTAGTAAGTTTTATAGGGATGCGGTGTTATCACATCAAACCTACAACCAGAGTTTCGTTATTCCTCCCCACTATCCATAGGGCCCTTCCATACCCCATCCTTGTCCTTGATAACTTTGGTGCTTGCTCAGGTCTAAGTGTTTTAACTGCACGTAGTCTGTTCCCTTGATTGATCCTCCCCGCCACCCCCACAACCAGTGATGCTCAGGGCTTACTCCTGACTCTGCACTCACGGATCACTCCTTGACGGGATTTGGAGGATCGCATGTGGTATAGGGGATCAAACCTGGGTCCGTCACAAGCAAGGCAAGTGCTCTGCCACTGTACTATAACTTGACTCATTTCTTTATATACCACATAGGAGTGAGATTTTTTACTATTTGTCCTTCTCTTTCTGACATTGTGGTTCACATGACTTTGTCTTCATATTGTTGTAAGACTTCATTTTTGCTTAATGTTGACTACTTCAAATTTATTTATTTTCTCATGGTGTACAGAATTTTTTGACATTTAATTTTATTAAAAACACGTGCTTTATAAAGTTGTTCATTATTTATGAGTTGTTTCAAGTATGTAGTATTCCAACACCACCAGTGTGATGTTCCCTCCACTAATATTTTCATTTTACTCCTATTTTAAATGTTAAAGCATTTGTGTACCATGCAGAATTTCCTCACATAGAATTTTGGAACAGGTTACAATGACTGCACTTTGGGGAGAATTCTTCAAGTGACCTTAGGCCACTTATCATGGTCAAATTGAAACCAACTTTTTATTTCAATGTTGATTGGTTCTTATGACTCTGTTAAGAAGTAGTGTCTCAACATAACTTTGTTTTATAATCTTAATGGCAAATTTTTAGGGTTTTTTTTTTTGCCACACCTGATGGTGCTCAGGGGTTATTCCTGAATCTGCGCTCAGAGACCACTCCTAGCAGGGCTTGAGAGACCATACAGGGATGCCAGGAATTGGACCCACATCAGCAACATGCAAGGTAAGCACCCTACCCACTGTATTATCTCTCTGACTGTGGTTAATAACCTTTTTTTTGTGATGTGGGGTCTCCTGCTTTTCTTAGTCTAAGAAGTTTTGTGTTTTCTTAGAAAACTCGGGGAATTTCAATTCTCAATTAACAAAACCATTCTTTTCCCATCTGAACTAAAGTAGGAAACTCCCAAATTTTTCCCGTGTATAGTGTAGAAGACATAACAGAAACTCTCATGACCTATGTTATGGGACCACACGCTGTGTTTTGTGCACCAGTAAATCAGGTATGTGTTCCGGATCTGACCGTATCCAAGCACCTGTAGAAGTACACCTAAGTGAGACCTGGGAGAACTTTGAGACAAACCCACTAGACCCTCCTTGCTCCCTTTCTGCTTGCTTGGGGAGATGCCTTCCCTGAAGAGGTTGGTTGGAGAGGCATGGGAATTGATTTAGACCTTCCGGAACAGTGAGTTACCTAGTGAGGGGACTCGTCTTTGTAGTTCTACAGGGTAAGGATCCAGCATCTTTGTCTCACCTCAAGAAATCCAGCCCCAGAGTAGCTTGTCTGCAGGACCAGCATCAAGGCCCCCTGCTACTGCAAATGGTCTCCAGCTTCCCAGGGTAGAGCTGTGAGTCAGAGTTTCTACAACTTGCCCAGCAGCGAGATGGACAAAGGAGCTCTAAGCTTTCCTTTCTCAACCCACCACAATTTCCTCAGAGGCAAATCTAAAATAAAAAGGCTCTTGAGATTTGGGGGGAAGAACCACACTTTTGGAAGAATTACCAGTAAGCAACCGGTATATTTCTAATTTTACTAGAAGTCAGTGGTCAAGTGGAATCATAGCTCAGGGGAGAATGAACTTTGGCACTTGGCATTCTGATCTAAGATACCATTCATGCAATGTTAGGCAATCGGTTTTATGTATATCATAAAGTTCTTAATATTGAGAATTAACTGTTTCATGTGTCTACTTTAAATATTATTTTGACTCAAAAACAGAATCTAATAGAACCCCCAGAGGTCAGAAATGTTATTTCTGTGGAGATGAGATGGCCAGGAGGGGGCATAAGGGAGCCAGTTAAGGAGCTGGCAATATTCGATGTCTTGATGTGAAATTCACCGGTGTCGCTGAAATAAAAACATGAATCAAGCCAAATGGAGATTTTGTATTTTATTGTATGTAAGATATATATTGATATTGAAGGCCTCTAAACACAAATGACTAAGAAGCTTAAAAAATGGTTACATTTCATTTTTTCTTACAGCTAACTTACTAGAAACCCACTTCAAAAGAAATTACAGTAATATTGCAAAAAGTTAACATTTTCAAAAAAAAACTAACACTGAAATAAATGATGAATTTTTAAATGCATTTACTTATTGGTGATTAAAAATAATACTCAGCACTTAAGCAGTTTAAGTAATTTAAGCCAGCGCAAAGAAAATTCTTGTTTAAGATATATATTTTTTCAAATTCTAGTAATATTCTTCTAATTCCTACTAAAAATATAATCAGTATTAAAGTCAGCAAAATGCTTTTCGTGGCGAATGCCTGGATTATTTTGCCACTCAATCAGGTTACAGAGGTGTTTTTTTTTTTTCTTTTGTCTTTTTCTTTTTTTTTTTTCTGGTTAACTGACAATCAGTTTAGTCTTTAAGATAAATGAAGTAAATGATAACTCACATTATAGCATCCCGTGGAAAATATTCAAACTACATTTAAGTATTTTTTAAAAGTATTGATGTCAATTATTCCACAAGAAATTGTTTCTTTAACACTAAAGGTTGGCTACGACAAAAGTAACTAAACTACATCCAACACTAAAGGTAGAAAAATCCCTGAAAAGAAATACACAGACTAGTAATAATATGCGATATAAAGGTTACGTTCTTATCTTAAAAATTCCTAAAACTTTGGAGAAGTCCAAAACTTTCTATATTCCCCTTACTGTAGGCATTGCCCACGTAAAGTTAGTCAACGTATAATAATGATGGCTTGTGATTAAATGCAACTTGACGAATACCTAGATATAGCAGCCTGGGTTTGGGGGTTTGGGTGTCGGTTATGACAATACGTATATGTAGTTCCACTAAAGAATACTTGCGTAGTAAAATTTGGTACAAAGCATGAACACTCAAGACAGATTGGCACAAAAACATGCAATTCAAGAAACTCAAACTATCTCAAAGCTAGTCATCACAGAGTAAGCCATTATTTCCGGTCCAGTTTTCCTTTCCGTGTATCCTAAAGGATGTTTTAAGAAAGCATCTTAAAACACCTTCCCGAATCAGTGTGCCTTAAAAGCCATTCATCTGAATGCATGATGGAAATGAGGCAGAATGGCCTGGCCGGTTGCGGCCGAGAACACATGAGGCAGAGGCGGCAGGGCGAGCTGGCCCAGGCTCATGGTGTTCATGGCAAGGGATGGATCTTGCTGCTGCTGCCCCAGACAGCTTAAGCGATGGGGCAGAGCCTCCCCAGGCCCCAGGCCAAGAGTGCCATTCCCAAAAGCATTTTGGGGAGGCGGGGGCAGCTGCCAAAAACCCAGCAGTGGGGAGAGATCAAGAGAGGCAGGCATGGCTAAATTCACAGCATCGGGGGCGAGCTCTTTGGGTAGGTTTATTTTGCCAGCGCTCCCCTTGCCCAGATCAAAACCTGGGTTGAGCTTGTGAGGTGACTGAGGCTCCTGCAGAGACAAATCCTCCAGCAAATTCATGTTGCAGTAGGGTTTTGTCTCGGTTTTGAGGGGCATATTTGCCAACGGAGCATAGGAGGTAGCACCCGTGTTGTATTTGTGATTCTGCAGGGGTGGCGAGTTGGGAGACGCCACCGGGTGCAGAGGCACCAAGGGCTCTGGCAGCGGTATGATAGGCTGCGGGTGCTGCTCTGCAAGATTGTGGGGGTGACCGTGGACCTCACCCTGCAAGCTACCTGCGAGCCCATTCTGGACAGGACCCCCCAAAGGGAAAGGAGCCAAGGCAGCCGCCTTGAGCTGAAACTGGGGGGAGAGAGCATGCAGGGTGCTCAGCAGATCTCCCGGCTGCAGACTCTCCTTCAGCAGCTCCTGCGAATGGGTCTTCTTGGTGTGGCGGGTGAGGTGATCCTTGCGCCCGAATCTCTGGGCACAGAACTGGCACAGGAAGTCCTTGCATCCTGTGTGGACCACCAGGTGGCGCCGAACATCTTTGCGGGTGTAGAAGCATCTCTCGCAGTGGTCGCACTGGTGCTTCTTCTCCTTGGTTCCACCGTGGGGCTTCTCATCAGCGTGGGCTTTGAGGTGGTCGAGCAGCACAGCCGTGCTGGCGAGCTCTAGGGCACAGACCCCGCAGGTGAGGTCGCCGTTGTTGGCCGCGTGGAGGGCCATGTGCCTCTTGTAGCCCAGCATGGTGTGGTACTTCTTGCCACACTGCTCACACACGAAGGACATTTTGTTGGGGTCGTGGGTTTGCAGGTGGTTCTTCAGGTGGTCTTTGCGGTTGAAGGTCTTCTCACAGTGGGCGCACTGGTGAGATTTCTGGGGCGAATGGGTCGCCATGTGCCTAGGGGCAGAGGGAAGACAAATTCAAAGTAGATTTAGTTTGGTTTTTGTCTTTTTTTTTTAAGAGTGGAAGAAAGGTGTCGAAAGCAAATTACAATGTGAGATGTTTCTCTGAGTGTACCAGGGCTTTTGAATTTTCAAAAACGCTTTTATTTTCCATCATCTACAAAGACCTACAGTGTTGGAATCATTAAAAAGACACTCATCAGAGAATAATGTAATTTTTTCTAACCTTTAAGGAATATTGAGCTATCAGCTCTCATCCTAATGTATGTGAGAACCATCTCTCTTTTCTATATCTTAGGCCCGCTTTCTAAAGTCCTTGGTAATATCTTCAGCAAAATTCAGAAAGACCTTTTGTAGAAAGAGGAATAAGCTACAATCCCTAACAAGAGTTTTTAGTATTTTTTTTTCTGTAACTGAGGCTTTAGGGACAATCCTTAGTCATCTTTATATACCTGGAATCTAAGAATAATTATTTTACATTTGTATTTGAGCAACATGAGATGATTTGGAAAAACTATCCCAATTCCATTTCTAGCATAATCCCACTGAGTACCTAAAATCTTAACTGTGGTTTTATAAGAAAAAATACACGGGAACTCAGGGTAGTCATCTTAAAAAGCTTTGTTTTAGTAACTAAGTATATCATGTAAACAACACTAAGTACTATAAACTAGGATATCTTTAAAAAGAGCATTCTTAATCACAACTTGTGACTTAAAGATACAATCCAAGTTGCTTCATGTCCCGTTTAACACAAACTCTTTGAGGTGCTTTGTTAAAACTTGCTCTACTGACAAATATCTTTTGAACTTGTGACTCTGATAGGAAAGTATTTGTAACAACATGGTTAAATCAAAAGTATATTAACTAGACTAGGGATGAAGCTAAGGCAGAACCTTGTATTCAACCCCTAGTACCACACATACACACAATGAGTATCAATTGTTCCTTTCAGCATCCTGTCCTATATTGTCCATTGGGATCCTTTTCTAAATTTAGACCCAGGAAGAGGTGGCATAATAGGGCAACTCCTATTAGGAGCCAGGCAGAAGTCATTTTAATAATATAAATATCTTTTTCAGTTCTTCCCTTAAAAACATAGCTCTCTGTTAAATAGGGAAGGCCCCCACCACTCCCCCAAGACAACAGAGCCTGGCATTGCAAAGGGACACTTAGAGTGTGGTAGGTTCTGGAAGGCAGAAACCAAGTGACAGGTGAGGGCAGGAACCAAACAATAATTATGTTGGAGGTCTAAAATTAATCTTTAAGTTCCAGATGTATTTTTACATCCCTAAGAGGCAGAAAGGGGTTTTAGAGCCCATTAGAGGGAAAATAACCACACTCCTACCCCATCAGCCACAAAGAGAGTATCACCAGGAAGAGATGGGGAGATGCGTTTCAGAGTAGGCCTTTAAATCATTGCCTCTCTGTCCATTCAGTAGTGGTAAACAGGATTCCAATATTGTACTAAATTCTCTCTTCTTCCCTCCCTCTCCTTTTTGCTGCATGGAGAATTCTTAATGGATCAGATTCCCTTTTTTTACCCATGGTTAGAGCAATAATGCTACATGAACGGGTCTAGATCTAGCTCTTCCTACCTCTACTTTCCTATGAAGAAGAAGGGTATAGGTAGGCACCATCAGTAACCTGAGCCATTTCAGACCCTTAATTGAACCAGTTCTTTCCCTCACTCAGCACTATAACCTCCCAAGTATTGCTCAAGACATCTTTGGTGCAGTTTACCCACAATAATCCCACCTAATTCCCATCCCTCCAATAATCTGTTGGCTCTACTGCCCTTTCCAAATATGTATCTCCTTTACGTGTTCTGGGCTCTGCGCAAGTCATTACTATCCTCGTTGTGGCTTAACTGCTGCAAATAGGGCTTTCAAGGCTTGATTGGGATCATTACTATGGACACAGTCACAGCCTGTTGCAAAAGCCTCTGCAACAAAATCGGTACACAAGGTACACAGTAGGTGCTCAATGTTTACACTTACCATAGTCAGAAACTTTCCAGTGTACAGAACACATCTGAACTGGGATACAGCTGAGCATTCATTAGGCTTCATTTTAAAAACTGAGCTAATTATACTGCACCAGAGAAAACAGTGGGATCTGATGATAGCATGGTCTATGTTGACACCACTTGGAGGGAAATTCTCTCATGTGCTTTTGACTCTCACCTATGCTTCTACATGTGAGCAGTCTTGTAGTTGAAACTGTAAAGGCCCTTGTAGTATCCATTAGAGGCAAAACCAGCATGTTTTCCTAAACCAGATATTAAAGTGGTTCACATCAGTGAGAATTGTGTCTGTGTGGTTCTCAAAGAACCAGCGCACCTGGCTTTCGCTGTTAGACTACTGTGCGACTTAACAGCTTTGGGATATGTTGTCTTCTCTATATCACACAGATTCTTTGCTGGCAGAAATTATATCATATATTTTTCCACCGCTCGTGAAAATAAGTGCCTAACACACCCTCAAAAAATAATTTGGGGGGCAGAGATAGTACAAAGGGTAGCGTGCTTGCCTTGCACATGGCCAACCTGGGTTTGATCCCCCATGGAACCATATGGTCCCCCAACCCCAAGCCCTGCTGGGAGGGATCCCTGAGCGCAGAGCCAGGAGTAAGTCCTGAGCACCAGCAGGTGAGGCCCAAAAGTGGGGGCGGGGGGAGTAAATCAAATAATTTAGATAAAGCATACCATTTAGTTTGTTTAAAATAATCTTCTCTCTGAAAATAGAGGTTTTATTTTATCTATCCTTTCGTGTACCATGAATGCCTCTGAAAATCTGATTAAATGCACAGAGACAACATCTGTGTACCCAACTGATTCCACTTGTGAGGGTGGCTACTTAGCCTTACACATCTCAGATGGTCTATCTGCCTCTTCCCTCCTCCAAATGACAACCCGAGTCATTTCCCCAAATCACAAGTTTCATTCACTACTGATACTTGTTTGAGTAAAGCAAAATCTCCGAAGCCTAGGAGCTGCCTCCTACTGGCCTATGTCCTGGGACTCAGGCCTGAGCCTGCGACACTCTGCCGTCTCCTGCAAGGAGAGGCTTTCTGAGGCTTCCCGCTGACCTGGTACTTCCTTCTCATCCTTCTCCAGCTCTCAACTGAAGAGCAGAGCCTCTGAGAAGCCTTCCTTAGCCTCATCTCAAGGGGCTCCAACCTCCTCCCCACACCGGCTCTACTAAAGCATAAAGGGTGTATTTTTCTTGTGTCATAGGATTCTCAGCAGTGTGTGTGTGTGTGTGTGTGTGTGTGTGTGTGTGTGTGTGTAAATATATATATTTAAATCTCTCTGTTCTCAGGCCTGGTGTGTGATAGCAATGTAGGAATATCTGCTACAAGAGCGAACTGGCATGGCCCAGCAAGACTGTCCCCACCCCCTGCTATAATCACTGCGGATGCAGTTTTAGAGGCTAAGATGCATGCACATTTAGCATGCATCTTATATTCCCCTGTAATTCTAGTTCTGAGGGCTTGCCAAGCCATCTGAAGGTACATGCCCACGTACATACCTTTCTAAAGCCTCTCACCTCATTAATTTATATTTGGAGACGAAGGCTTTGCCACATTCTGGGTGCAAGCACTTGAAAGGTCGCTCCCTGGAGTGGGAATAACTGTGGATAGTGAACTTCTCCAGGGTGAGGAACGTCTTGCCACATATCTGGCAGGGGTAGGTAGCCATGGGTTCTGCTTCTGATACCTTCCTTTTCAGATGCGCTGAGCAAGGGCTGTGCCATTTAAGCACAAACGGAAGGACGGCTGGCTGAACGCATGGGCAGAGCCATGGCAGCGGAACCCCAGTGATGCGGCGTGGTCTACCGAAGGTAGGGGTGGGCCTACCCACGCATGGGCCTCTCAGTAATCACTAGCTCGATCTCCTGATTTCCCACATCCCACTTTATATGCAGTCTGAAGTTGGAAGAAGAAAAGCTGAGGCAGAGATGAGATTCCAGGAGCAGAAAGGTAATCTGCATCACTAGAGCGGTCCCAGACTGTCTGTGGAGAGAAGAGGAACAGTGGTCTTGCATTAGCCATTGGAAACTGGTGCTCATCCTCCCCCACCAGTGCAGAAGCAGTTCATGCCAGCCAGCAGTGCTAAAGGCAGTGCCAACCTGACTCCTCCGGCATGTTTCCGGAAGTCCTTCTGCTCGGAAGGAAACACGCCCATCTGTGGACTTTCAAGAGCGGGTGGAAACTTTGGACAAAGACAGCTCGTTCTATAGACCCGGCTCTAACCTGCCATCACAGTGTTGGGGGAGGCACAGTCCAACAGGGTAAAGGCTGAAGGACAAACCACCCTCCTGGCTTCCCCAAGGACATTTGACAGTTTGGCTGCTTCCAAACTAAAATCACACAGACACAGACACACCCAGACACATACCCACACACCAGCTTATTCAAACCCTGGGCTATTCTGCTCGCTCACTGTTAACAGAACTTGTTTACCACACCTGTTTAAATTTCCAGGGGATGAGGCCGAGTCATTTGCATATCTGAATTTGTCTGAGGCCACGGAGGACAGAGGCAAACAGTGAGGAAAGCGCTTCTAGGCACTCGGGATTGGGCAGGGCCACTGGGGACCTGGAGACAAAAACGTTCCCAGGGAAACAAAACTGAGGGTGCACGTGGAGAAAGCTGGGGTGCAGAGCGGGAGGTCATCCTCCAGGAACTTCTGTTCATCTCTTCCCCTTTCATGGCGGGCACCTTAACGCACCCCCCAACTCCACCCTGGAAGACCAACCCAACTCCCTGCTGGCATATCACTGCTAGGATGTGGGCTCACTCTCCCTCACAACCCAACAGTACCTCACACCAGTCTCTCCTGCCCCCGGGCTCTGTTTGAGGGCCTGGGTAAAAGATCTGAGGCCACACCTGGGAACCCTGAGGTAGTTCTAATCATTCTAGAGAATCACTGTCCGTGTGGGTGGGTGCTAATGTGTCAAGTGCCAGTGTTGTTTTTCCAAACTCAAGCACGACCTGCTTTTAGTACCAACCAACCACATACTTCCTGGCAGTCACTCCCTCTCACCCAGCCCCCGAGAGGTACCCATCGTGACCCTTTGGGTTCCTTGAAGATGACAAGGCTGGCGTGTATCTCCGTGAACTTTTATTCTCCTGGCTTTCCAAGCACTGGCCCGGAGCACATGTCCAGGAACCTCCGTTCCTTTCTCATGGACAAAGAGGGCAGCAAACTTTCCGTGTTCCTCATCCAGTAGCTCAGATGTCTGGAATGCTCGGTCATAATTCACGAGGCTCTCCTGCCAGCAGGCAGCCGCGAGCTGCCCTGCCCCACCTGCCAGGGTGTCCTCAAAGCTGACAGGCACACTTTGGCCCTGAAACCTTAGCACTGATCCCAGATGGGCCTTCTCTGCCAGCAGCCTGGCTTCAGCTGCCTTTCTGAGGTGCAGCGTGCACAAGACTTTCTTCCTCCATGGCCACAGGGGTCACCTCTCTCCTGGCTTTGACTATACCCGTTTCCCCGAATCCTTTGTTGCCTACTTCAAGCTCAAGGCCCATCCCAAAGACATCCCTGACAAACCTCACCACAAACAAAATAACTCCTTCGAGGAATTCTACCCAGTGTGGCCGAGTTTTTGCTGCCAGGTCTCATGATGTGCCCTACTTCTCATCCAGCCTGAGTCTGGCGCTAATACCAGTCCAGCTTTTTTTTTCTTAAAAACAAAACCAAAAAAAAAAGGGAGGGGGTTGCCTTAGAATCTATTCCCATCATTAAATATAGCCATTCATTTGCAATTCCCAAGTTCTTTCTAGGTCTGTTAAAATGTAGAGATTTAGATGTACACACAATCTGCAGCCTGGAAAGTATATTTTCCTTGTTCCCGGTATAGCTGAACTCAAAATAGTACTAGTCACATGGGTGGAGGAGCTGTTTGGGAGGTGAGGGTTCTAATTTTTCACTTACTCACACCCATTCTGCATCTATACTGTGGTCAACGTTTCTCCAATCCATTCACCCCAGTCTGCCCAACAGAACTTTCCGTGATGACGGAAATGTCACGTGTGGGTTGGCTCCTGATTGCTTGGAATTGAGAAACTGAATCTATGGAGCTTAAACCCAAACAGCCACGCATGTGGCTCAGGGCTGCTGGAGGAGGCGGTGTAGACTCTAAGGCTGGTCTGCTTCTGCCTCCCTGCAGGCACCACTGTGCAGCTCGCCCACTGGGTTTTCCTGAAGCCTGGGAGGACCCGATGAGCCAGTCGCTGGCTCTAGGAAGGTGGTGGGGAGATTCCCAAGTTCAAACACTGCCTGACTGATTCAGGGGCAAATATCCATCTTCCTATTTCTATTTATGAACTGAGTTTGTTTTCTCATTTGGGATACTTATGCGATGCTGGTAAATGAACAACTCATCAAAATGAGAGATGTGAAAGCATGTTGTCATAAAACACACACACACACACACACACACACACACACACACACACACCACATACACCTGGACAAATAGCCTTGATGAGACACTGAGACTGTAGGGAGAAACCATCAGCTGCACATTAGCATGGGGTTCTAGCCACTCAGCTGTGGATGTAATGGGGAGAAGGCACAGGTTCTCTCCCTGTGGGTTATCCACGATCCATTATTCATATTGGATGGACCCAGTAGTCTGGATATTGCACATACTCTGAGATAGAGGATCCAAGATTGCAAGTAAAAAGCCGGTATTCTCTGTTGCTTGAAAATATTAACCTTGATGGCTGGCTTACTAGCATGCACAGAATGCAATGGAAAAGTTAAGCTTTTTAAATTATTTAAAAAAATGACTGCTCTTTAAGCACTTAGTAAAGTTCTCTCACATTCACTTTCTAATCACTTCTCCAGATATAGTGGTCCAGCCATGGTTATGATTAACCCATATTTCCCTGGATCCCCCAAAGATGGTGGATATAAATGTATGAGACTTAAATGTAGCCATATACATATATATTTTTTTCCAAATGTGAAAGACATTTTCTCCAGCTCTTTGTATATCATCAAACTTTCAAAGACCAAAAAAGTTGTTTTGAACATTTTTCTACTTCAGAAGTAGCCTCTGACTCTGAGCTCTCTGGGTATCTAGTCCAACCCTGAGTGCAAAGTGAGTTCTTCGATGCTGAACTGATTGTGAACATTCTTTAACTTCTTCAGAAGTCTTGTCATAAACTCAACTTCACAGAGAATACTGCATTCATCCTATGAGTCTGTCATTAATATAGACCTCCAAATATAAATATCAGCACTTTCCATGATATAGTTATGAAAGTCATCTTCTCCAACCGGCTATAAATTCATCGTGGCCAAGGATCAAAGCTTAGCTATTTTTAAAAAATCAACCATGTGGAGGACACAACATCTCCCATCACCATGTATGTGACCAGCCCTGGCTGGCTACTGCTGATTCCAATCTTTGGTTGAAACCTGATGCACTTTCTGGCCATATCCTTAAAACAGACTGTGATTAACTTTCTATTATCTGGCCAACTACCAACAACCCTCACATAGAACTGACAAAAGGGTCCTGATGATGAGTTGGTTCTGTGACCTTACATACACTTAAATACGGTAATATTTCAACACCTGTTACCAATGGAAAGATAGTAAGTCTTCCCCCCAAACATCTCAGGACATAATTTCCAATCCCCTTGGTTCTAAAAATACTGAGTGAGTGATACAAATCTGCCAGTATGCCAAAGAAGGCTGTGCCATCTGCTTCATTTTGATCATGCTGATTATTTTGGGGATGAGAGGATCAGATTGGAATAAGAACATATATATATATGGCAACAGCCAGGAAGGACTGTGTTCCCTGAGGGATGGTGTGTACGGTAAAGGGGGAGGTCAGAGCACAAGTGGAGTTCCAGGACGTCCCCACTGCTGTGTAACACAATCATCTAATGAGGGACAAATGTCTTGCAGCATTCTCAAAATAAACCAGGGCTTTTGCCTTCCATTTAATTTGTCTCCAATTATACAGTGTAGGGCCTGTTCCATGTAGCAAATTGAACTCCCAGTTTTAGTCTTCTAACATGAGTGTTCCATGTTCCTTCTTTTGACTCCATCCATTGCCCTTCTCCCACAAATAAGAAGGTTCAGCTGCAAATCTTTCTTTTACATTCTCCCAAAATATGGGTGAGGTTTTTAGTATATATCTATAACTGAGTGGAGGATAATTTTAAAAGGGTGTCTAGTGAGGTTCTGTTATTTATACTTATAAAATGGGGGACAGCCCATCATGGCCAAGGTAAATGGTAATTGATGGCTTATTTAGTTCTCAGAGACTTCTAGAGTTCTTCCCCTGATATTTGTTCTTCAAAGGACTTCGGAAGCAAGTTTTTATCATCAATTTAAAAATTAATCAATTAGAAAAAATATTCCAGAACCTTCAGGCAGCTGCTACTGCTTATTACTATTATTATTTATTATTATTATTATTTACTTTACACAAGTGTTATACAATGTGCTAGGCATCATATAGGAGCACGTGTGAAGTGAAAAGATTTGGAACTCATGTCTCATACATGAAAAGGAGCTTTGGGGATTGGAATGACCTCAACTGATGCGAGAGTTCTTGATGAGCATCAGATTGGTTTTTCCCTTTGAGTCAGGGGTTCATGAGTAGGGCCCCCATTGGATTTTAAAGCCCCTGTGAATTCTATAAAATTTTGTGTGACAACCAGGAGGCATGTGTACTGGAGAGAGGGGGGATAGCAGTTTCCTTCAGCTGTTCCTAAGGGTCTTAATCTCAACCAAGTTGAAGGACACTGACGAATATTCCTTTTTGCGCTATCATCTGACTCTTCATAAAGTCACTGATACTGCACAATCCAGGGGCAATCTACTTTCTGCCTCTATCATTGCATTTTATCAGATTCAAGTTAGATGTTAAAAGTTAGAGGGGCCTGCAACAACAGTACAGCAGGTAGGGCTCTTGCCTTGCATGCAGCTGACCCAGGTTCAATCCCAGCACCTCATATGGTCCCCA